TTTACATTGTAGTAAGCCTATTTTACACAGATGGCGTTTTTCTGTAAGATATGTGACGTCACAATACAATCATATTGACTGCGCTCATCTCTCGTTTCAATGCTTTTATGATGTTCCATTGTAGTCAATTATTTGTAAAGATGAGAGTAGTGTGTCGTTATTGATAAAATGGCTTTACACTCGTTGAATTGGCACTTGGCCGGAAATTGTTATTTCATAATGGAACGCGATAGATCCATGCGAATGAAATGCTCAAAACACATCGAGCGACGAGTGAGAATCGTCATCACATTTTCATGAATCAAGTAGTTTGTGTGTGAAAATTGCCGACAAAGCACTTGTATAGGACAATCAATACATGATCTCTCCCAATATCATCAATTCACAAGCATTTTTATTTCTGTTTCGCGAACCATTTTTTTCTTCTTCATTTTTACACTGAACAATAGACAAAATGTACTTGAAGGATGATGCTTGTGTATATGATAATCGAATAAAAATAAGAAAAAAAGAAAAGGACCTGAAGGAATGTGAACAATGACAACGATGAATATGATGATAAAGACGATGTCTATAGTTACATTGTCGTAAGGTTTGACATCCACTGTACAAGAATGTATATACATCGACAGCCACGTCAACTGCAGATTTCGATATGAAAGTTCTGAAGTTGTTTATCGACCGATTTATTTTTACATTTATTTTTTGATGCAGAAATTCTGATTTTCTCCAAACAAATGCTATTCGAGTCAAACCTTTTCGGTTCGAGTTTCTTCGAAACTCCAACGCACTTTGCACTGAATAAAAGTCACAACCCATTATCTGAATATTCCCATACGCATTAATTATGCATTCGCACATTTGGGTGAATGTACTACTAGTCTATTGCGAGTGAGAAATAAAAGCGTCGTACGTGAGGACAGACATTTGCGTACAAATTCATTTTTGGCAATTTGCCGATCGACTTACATTTACAATCGTATGTAATCGATATCGATTTGTTTTCTCTCCGAGAAAAGTTTTTGCTTGTTTGTTTACATTTGACTTTGTTATGATAGGTTATGGTTTAGTATAAAATATGCAGATCTGTAGAACGGAGAGAAATCTTCAATTTTCATGAACTATCGAATACGATGAACCATTAATAGATTCCATCATCGAATTACAAGTCATCGTGGCCTTTTTTGTTTTGATTCCGACTATATGATACTGTCTCATTGACGAAAATAGCTGTTTTGTTCGAGTATCGAATTGAATAACTCATTAAGAAAAAATCTATTTTGTTTTTGTTCACTTATCACTTGTTTGAGTATCGGCAACTTTGCCATCGCAAGTATTTCACTCTGTTCTAAATACCTTCGAGCCATTATAATTAAAATCACAAAACAAAATCAAAATGACATTTCGGTCGTTCGAAAATGATCGAACAAAAAAAGTTAATTCGAACAATTTCTAATTTGGTTACGAAAACATGCGTAATGGCTCGTTTAAAATCTTTATTTAACGTTTTTTTTCCTCCGTAGGCGTGTGAACGGATTGTATAAATACCAGTTGCATCGACTGCCATCAATAGTTTGAGTGTACAAATCATTCGATACAGGTTGAAAATCAGAAAAATACTTTACCATGTCGAAAACAAACGAACCATACTTTTTTGAAAAGTACTTCCCATCAAGTTATCATCTAACATTTCACGCGCCGATCCAAAGATATCCAGGACCATTAGGTTATAATCGCGAAGAGCTCGAGCAAAAATCGAAAATCTCCAAGGATGAATTTCGTGTGTTTTTGGACGTGAAAGATTTTACACCGGAAGATTTGAGTGTGAAAACGATTGACGAAACGGTTATCATTGAGGGCCGACAGAAGAAAGCATATGGAAGATTGCCGAGCACATTTCATCGCCAATTTAGATTGCCGGAATTTTTTGATTCGGAAGATGTCATCGCACGAATGTCGGACGATCATATTTTAGAGATTCGAGCCAAACCATCGACACAGAAAAAGTTCCGCCATTTAGAAGAATTGAAAACAATGGACAACGTTAATAGAGTTAAGTAAAGATTGTTCAACACATTATTGTCGATTTCTTTTTGCTGCTGAAACACAACGCTTGCCAATGGATTTTCTCTGAACTTTTTGCGAAAATTTAATTTTAAAAAAATTGTCATTTATTTTGAAGAAATCGTTGAAAATTATAATTAAAGTTTCAGTGATACGATATGTCCAACAAAATGCATGGGAATGTTTAGAAATCTTTTTTGTAGATTTTTTTCCGCTGAATAAAACAACAAATATTTATAAAATAAAAAAAAAGTGTTTGAGAAACAATCTATTTTATTTCCAGAAATTAGTTTTTTCTAGCAAGATGGCATTAGTTTTTGGGCGAAATTGACAAAATATATCATAAAATCAAGTTTTTCTTATCAAAGGAATCTTTTGTAAAATAATGTATTCAAGCAACGCACCCACCAAATGGTAATATAACCGATCCATTGGATTTTGTTAAAAGAAACCTCAACAAAAGCTGATAACTCAACAAATTCGAAAAATATCGTATTTTTATTTTTCGTACACATGGTATTATTGTGTGCAATCATGTGCAATCGTTGAATGTCTGAGCATTTGAATCTATTTTTATCATTCAATTTGAATTCGTTTAAAAGAAATTCAATCGATTATGTACATGCGAAGCGATGCGAAGTTGTGCAATTTACATACTTCACTGCACACGTACACATGACACAGCGGTCAAATGTAAATAAACTGTCAATCGAATCTAAATAAATCTTTCAACGCTCAGCTGAGTCAACGAATCAAGTTCTTCATGGGACGTGCGCAAGCACAATGAATTGTGCCAGAAACTAGTGTCGATTTCCAAAAATTACCCATAAATTCAGAATGTAGTCATAATAGTAAAGCCTTCAATCTTCATGAAAATCATAATAATCAATTCGTGAAGATTCTCTTCCTACGACATAATCGTATAATATTTATTCAATTCCAATAGATTGCATTTGATGAACAAGGTCGATCGAAAATTGCCGACAAAGCACTTACTACGTGGCAATAAATATGATCTGAAATTCACATCATGCAGTTATATTTTTATTTACACGACCGTTTTTTCCGATGCCAAACAATGAACGAAAAAAAGGGAACCGCTCGAATAGTGAATATAATCGAATGAAAGGAAAAAGCTGACAGAATGCGAACACTGATGATGACGACTACGTCGTCAACATTAGCTACAACAACGTCTTCGATTTATAAAAAAAGCGCAATGTGCGAGGCAACAAGCATCATCCATTGTTCGAAGTGGGTATAAAGTAGAATTTATAGATGTCAATAGCAGATTTAGATATGGATTTTTTTTCTACTCGCAATAGACAGCTTTAATAAACAGACAGCTCAAGATTAAAGCGAACAGTAAAAATGGAACCTTTTTGATGCCATTTTCTCAGTTCGAATGGTGCACGTACCCTATACACGATTGAGGTACTTTGTTGTAAAGTCGCCAAAATGAAAGCTAAGCGCATCGAATGTACTTTAACACAACAATGTGGCAAGAAAACTCATGGCGCGACCGAAGTTTTCGATGAACAATACCAATTCCGAAAATGAAATGAATAAGAAGCAACGAACGCGAATTACGATTTTCATTTGATTCATAAATCCTTTGCAAACGATAAATGCATTCTCGCTTTTTCGAACGAATGAAAAGCTCCTTCTTTTGGTTAACTCATTTTGTATGGTGGTGGTTGTTGTTTTTTTCAGTATTTGAAAAGTTTTCGCGATGTCGCACTGTGAAATGTATTTCTATTGTTTTAGATGATGTAAATTGTCGCAGACAAAATTAAGTCCTTGAAATTGGTCTGGTGACAACGTCAATTTTTGAAATGAAAAACACAACACAAACATTGTTTACATTTCATTATATATATTTTTTCATTTCGTTTTTTCTTTTGAAACATATGAAAATGTCTCAGGCTAATCTCTTCATATTTGTTGTGTGTCAACATTGTATGAACAAAAAAAGATCCGAATAAACTTCAACGATCAACCTACTTCGCTACACATCTTTCTCTATGTAAAACATTGACATACACATTTTTTTCTTCTCGAAAATCGCATTTGTTTACAGCATGTCTTTGTTTACAAAGTAAAATAAATGACTGGAATTCTTCTTCGGCATTGAAATATATGAGCGACGAAAAAAAAATCAAAGCAGATGACAAAAAGAGTTGCAGAATCAAATGAAAGAAAAAAAATGAATTTGATCTAACGATATAAGGGATTTTTTTTCATTTCGCCGTTTGTCAGTTTCATATTTTGATATTGAATTCAAGGACGAAACAGCACGGGTACCCGAAGTCCCATTTGACGACGTGCTAAGAAAAAGTGATTGCGAGATACAGTTTTAATAGATGGAAAAATGATGGTTAAAATGGCACGCATTATTATATGTTTTTGTTTGTTGTTTTCTTTGACCGACTTTCGTTGCATCAAGTCTATGAAGTTTTACGAATGAAGACCAATTTCAATCTCTTGACTTTTGATGATAAAACTGAAATGAAATTGTCTATCTTCGAAAAATAATCGAAAAATTCGTTTGCCATCAAACACATGTACATGCATTTTTCAATGAGAAAATCAAAAATCGAGAAACACAATTTGAAAGAGCATGAAAACTTTTTCTCTCGTACATACACGAAACAACACAATATTTCAGCTACGAATTTTCAAACGTAATCAGAAATCGCTAGAACGCGACTGAAGTTCTGTCGGCCGAACATGTGAAAAATCACACATGCATGTGAAATGTGATAAACCGGAGATGAGATGGCTTCCAGTACATATGAAATTGTTTAACAAGCGCGAAATATATATCGCTGATGAGAGGATCCCCAAGTGAATTTAGATTTACGCTTCGCCAACTTTTGATTGTGTTATTCAAATTGCCGGAGAAAATGGTGAGCAAGAAATAGAAAAAAAGTGGTGGTGAAATTGATTGGACCATAAACTGGTGTCTAATATAAATTTCACTGGCCTAGTCGCTCATATTGCATTCCATTACCATTTGGTGGAATTTTGATGGGAGATACATATGTATGATAGATGACACATAGGCGCATGTATAGCATCATATATCTCATGGCTTTCTGCATTTTTATTCTATTTCACACTCTAACTCTTGTTATCTTTTTTCTTCACAAAACGAAGTTTGGCGAATGTTGCGTGCTTGATGCTGATTTTATGCCAAATGACCTGACAACTAACCCAAAAAATATGTCTATCTCAAAACAAAAATGCGTGTGTACGTAAAGTCATGCCCAACAGTAATTGCAGTGCAATAGACTTGATGATGTTCCAACTTGCTTGGCAATCATCGTTTGCAGTGAAATATTAATCATATTTATCATCGAAAGTATTTTATTCACATGACTCTCATATGGCACATAGTTCAAAAGCCAGGAGTGTATATGCAAGTATGTTGAATTAAAATGAATAATTAGCCATAAGCTGAGATGATGCCATCGGTCAGGGTGAAAGTACATTATTCCAGAAAACATTTATTAGACCCTCTGGGTGGTTATAATATGTTTTGTTGTTGAGCATTCGCCCAGAAGAAAGATGTCCCTTTTGGAACGGTGCACGAGTTTAATGGAAAATAGTCAATTAATCATTATTAGGCGAAGCCAAATTGTTATTTTCTGCTCATGTTTTGTTTGTGTTCCACAGGCAGATCTTTGACCTATTCGCTGTACATCAATCAATCAAGATGTTTTCAATGCAAAGCTTCACCTTTATCTCACAACGAACAAGACATAATTACGAACAGTCTATCATCTATCTCACAATCTCGTGCACAGTATGTGTCACATTTATACGCTCAGCGTGTATTTATGCACATCCATAGATAGAAAAAACCGTTTCGTTTAATCATTATCGATGAGTATATTTGGAGTGTATCTGGAATGGTGATGATAACTCAAAGAATTTGTGGTATTCCATGAAGAAGAAAAAAATTCTCACTCCGTGTCATAAAAATCGTATGAAAGCTAAAAAAGCGGAAATTTGCATACAATGAAATATTGGGTCAACAGCGTCTCTTCTTCAATCGAGAGCTTTTATTCAGGGATACGAGTGTGTGCTTCCCTCTTCACTTTGCTCTCTTCCATCGAACCCAATCAATAAATTGCTTTCATTTGAAGTTCGTGAAACATACTTATGGGTTCTGTGACATCGCAAACGCTGAACCAGCATTATATTCCGAAAGCAACAGCAGCAGCAAAATTAACGACACATTTCACGAGTGGATCGCCAAACGAATCGCATTCATTGGGAATGTTGTCAGTTTCGCGGAGAAGATAATAAAAAAAAACGAACCGAAGACTTAATATTGATTGAGTTTCAGCGAACGAACAAGAGCAACCCAAAACGAAGGAGAACAAACAAAAAAATTAACTGTGAACGTGTTCCCATAATGCCAAAGCGCTTCGGGTTTTATTTGTTTGCATTACGTCGTAATGGTGTAGCATCATAAAGTAAGTCGTTTTAATAGATTGTGTGCATTTGTACGCATTAGCAACTTTTATATTACGTGCCAAGCAGCCAATGTCTAATGTCAACGATGAGTCGCATGTTTACTCGTCTTCTTTATTCGGAGATGAAAAACAGTGAATAAGAAGTAAAATGGCGAAGCAATTACAAAATTGCCAAGCTTAAAAAAGTGACGTTGACGCCTTGCACATTTTGAGCTATTGTTCTGTTGCACATTCAAGGCATAATTAAATAGTAAATTGAAAACCCCTTCCGACATTTCTGGTTGAAAGAGCTCAAATCCATATACACATCAACGCGTTGTTGCATTCAAATATCGTGTCCATTATTTGAAACCATGTGTTTGTGGCATTCACCGAAAACACGAAATCACCACCAACTATTTGCCTACATTGAACATGTGAAACAATAAGATGATGCACAAAATAACATTCAATTAATTTCCATGGTGCAGCATATCGCAAAACTACAAGACTTAAGTCATCTCTCTTTTACGAGTATTTTGTAAACGTTGCATATACTGCTAGGGGGAATTATCTATACGTTTTTTTACCGAATATACTATAAATAGATGAAGACATCGCAAGTATGCCGCATATACGCTGCATATATGCGTATAAACCACATATATTCGGAGTTATTTGCAAATATTCTTCGGTATATACGGTTTATATTCTTATACGCAGCATATTCGTAACTTATTTTATTCG